GGGGCTGACTGGGGACCCCCACCTTGCCCAGTACCCTCGGACCCTCACTCCCATCTCCCCAGCCTCAGCCTTAGTCACTCCCAGAACAATCTCGCTTGTGAAGCCTGGAGCACATCCGTCCATATTGCAGCTGGGGGAGGCCTCCCAGACCAGCCCAGGCTGTGGGATAATTTGATATTCAAATCCTGGCAAAGACCTGCTTCAAATTGCTGCAAATTAAGCTGATTTTGCCCCTCTGAATGAGGGATTTGCTCCTGTGGATCAACCCTCTTCCCAGGACTTGATGAGGTCAGGATTAGAGATGGGGGAAAAAGCTGGAGAGCTGGAGAGCTGAGGGGAGGGGGGAGCCGAGACCCTGGAGTTAGTGAAGGTTTCCAGGAGCTCAAAAGGCAGCTCTACCCAGTAACGGCAGGGCCTCTGTGGCCCAAATGGGTCAGCCCCATCCCCCGGGACAGCATAGCTCAGTTCTGTTTTCAAACCAGCTTGTGGGTCTCATCCAATCTTTCCAAGCACCTGTGACCCAGGGCAGAACTGATCACCCCCATTTTCCTGATGAAAGGGGAGATGAGGTTCTGTTGGCAAACACAATCTGGACTCAACCACTGCCACCAACTTGCTGTGTGACCTTGAGCAAGTGACCTCTCTGAGCCTCCTTGTAAGAATGACTGGCGATGCACGCACAGTGCCAGGCACATAGCAAGCCCTCCATAGCATGGGCCAGTGTTCTTAGCCAAAGCCCTGAAGCCAGAAAATAGTTGAACAGAGAACCTGGGGCTGTGGGCCCCGGGAAGAGTCAGGCCCCTGCCTTCTCCTGGAGGTCCGTGCCTACTCTACCCGCTCCTGACGGGACCTCCCCAAGCCCTGGCAGAACCTCATTTCCATCTGTTTTATCAGGGCCTGTACTGTATATTGCAGCAATTTTGAATTGCACCATTAAAGATTTTATGCTGGAGACGTTAAAATTAAAAAGATCTATGTGCAAAGAGTCACAACGAATTTAATCAACTTGATTTAATAGAAAACAGCAATGGAATTTATGATGCTCCAAAAGACAAGGGAATTTTTTTTCAACAAAAAATAATAAAAAGCACTTTGTAGGAAACAGAAAGTGGAGTGGGGTGGGGGTGGGGGCCCCCCATCTAAGAGTTGATCAGAACCTAATCCGCCGCGAACAACCCCGGTCGGGGCTGTTTGCCCACTAATCCCAGCTGCCATTAAAATATTAAAGATAAATCTAATCGTCTCTTTATCCAAAATAAGCGACTTTCGTGTGGGGAGAAAACGTCTAACCCTTTGGGAGGAGAATTAGTCCTAATGCATCAAATGGAATTCGGTCCAGGCAGGGGCAGAATAGGGTTTAGGAGCAAATGAGATGGTAATAGAAATAAAACCCAGAATAACAAATTAAAAACCCTCATTTACACGAATTAAAACGGCTCACAAAAGAGCTGGAGGCCCAGCCCTGCCCTCCTCGGCCCCAGGCCCAGTTCCCCCTCCCCTGGTCTCACCCACCCACAGGCCCCAGAGGAGCCAAGGCCTGACCTCATCCTGGCAACTTCTGCCCCACACCCTCCGGGATACTTACAGGAAGAGGCATCCAATATTCCCTCTCCAAGCCCAGGCCCAGGCTGGGTTTCTTGAGTCCTCATTCATTTCTCCATCTCCCCTGCACCGGCTTTGGGGTCAGGCAGAACTTCATGCTTGTCCCAGAGCCATACCCTAGTATGTGAGGTCTTGATTTGTCTCTATTTATTTAAGGTGTATTTTTTAGAGACAGAGCCTTGCTCTGTCACCCAGGCTGGAGTGCAATGACTCAATCATAGCTCACTGCAGCCCCAAACTCCTGGGCTCAAGTGATCCTCCTGCCTCAGCCTCCCGAGTAGCTGGGACTATGGGTGCGCACCACCACGCCTATTTTTTTTTTTTTTTTTTTTTTTGGTACAGAGGGGATCTTGCTATGTTTCCCAAGCTAGTCTGAAACTCCTGGGCTCAAGTGGTCCACAGGTCTCGGCCTCCCAGAGTGCTGGGATTAGAGGCTAGAGGCGTGAGCCACCTTGCCTGGTCCTAGTTTTATTTTTTAAACCCCCTGAGCCCTTATTACTTGGGGAAGATGAGGATAATATCGACTCCTGTCCTCACACAGCCCTTCTCCCCAGCCTTGACCCCACTGCTGCTCCCTGGCCAGGCTCCATGGAATTCGATGAGGCAGCAGCATATGGAAGCCGCAGCACTGTGTCTGATCCATCAGGATGCTCCATCACAAGCGTCAAAGGAGCCTCCCCCGAAAGAATTCTTAGTCAGCTCAGCCACTGAAGGATCCTGGGGAAGTCAGGCCTCTGCCCCTGGGAGGAAGGACACCTAGCAACGGGCCAGCGCGGGGCAGAGGGAGTGGGTAGCAGTCAGCTTGAGTAACTATGTGGGGTCACCCACTGGGTGGCCACTCATGGGGGCTGAGGCCACCCCAGATCTTCAGGGTTCTCCCTAAGCGGCCCCTTGACCCCCAAGATTTGCCTAAAGTTTGGCCCTGTGGCTCGTCCTGCATACCCTTCCCTGAACTGGCAACCCCCCCACCCCACCTTCTGCTCAAGGTCTGGATTCCCTCACATTAAAATCCCGCTTTCTGCCTTAGTAGCTGGATGCTTCTCAGGGGAGATGCATGCTCCCCCAGGAGGTTCTAGGGCCCTCTGCGAGCCATCACAAGTTCATGAGGCCTTGGTACAGACAAGTGTGACAAACCCCTTCCTGAGAGCCTACTTGGCCTGCTGAGGGGAGAGGGTGAGGAGGGGGCCCTTGTGCCTGAGTAACCCCCCCAACACACCCTACTGGAGACCCCACGCCAGGAGGCCCGGAATACACCTCTGACCTCCCCAGCCGTCCTAACAAATCCACTTGAACAGGAAACTCATGTTGACAGCATTCTATTATGGGATATTAAGTGGAATTGGATTGTGGAGCTAAACCTTTCCCTGGCTGGGTTTCTGCATTCGGTTGGCCTCCTCCCCTTTTGCCTACCAGAGGCCTTCTTCCCTCCAGCAGGGCTCAGAGGGGAGGGAGGGGCTTTCCTGCCCACCACTGTCAACTTCTCCCCCCCAGACTCTGTCCCCAACCCTTGTACTAAATGCTGATTCTAGTAGTGATTTTCAAGAGAAAATTGGGCTCTGGCCGTGTGAGAGTGGATGACCTTCCTCCTAACTTCTTCCCAGGATGGCTGAAAGAAAACATGAGGATGACCAGGCGAGGTGGCTCATGCCTGTAATCCCAGCACTTTGGGAGGCCGAGGCAGGTGGATCACCTGAGGTCAGGAGTTTGCGACCAGCCTGGCCAACACGGTGAAACCCCCTCTCTACTAAAAATACAAAAATTAGCCAGGTGTGCTGGCACACACCTGTAATCCCAGCTACTCGGGAGGCTGAGGTAGGAAAATCAATTGAACCTGGGAGGCGGGGTCGGGCGCGGTGGCTCATGCCTATAATCCCAGCACTTTGGGAGGCTGAGGCACATGGATCACGAGGTCAAGAGATCGAGACCATCCTGGCCAACATGGTGAAATCCTGTCTCTACTAAAAAGTACAAAAAATTAGCCAGGTGTGGTGGTGCCTGCTGTAGTCCCAGCTACTCAGGAAGCTGAGGCAGGAAAATTGGTTGAAACAGGAACATGGAAGTTGCAGTGGACCGGAATCATGCCACTGCACTCCAGCCTGGTGATAGAGCAAGACTCTGTCTCAAAAAAAAAAAAAAGAACGGGGGAGGTGGAGGTTGCAGTGAGCCGAGATCGTGCCACTGCACTCTAGCCAAGGTGACAAGACTGAAACTCCATCAAAAGAAAGGAAGGAAGGAAGAAAACATGAGGAGATGGTGGGCAGGATGGGATTTTTCCAGAGGGATATCCGAAGCCTGAGATTTGGTGAAAAAGTGCTGGGAGGAGATGGTCACAGGCAAAGGAGCTGGGGCCCCACTGCTGCAGGCCAGTGATCATTCTGGCTTAATAGGTCAGCACCCCTGTTGCCTCCTCTAGGAAGCTTTCCCTGCATGGCCCATATTAAAAAGGGGAAACTTGAGGCATGGTGAAAGCTAAGTGGCCAGGTCACACAGCTAGCAGGTGGTAAATGGGGGAATTGAGCCCAGGACTGTGTGATTGAAGAGCCAGTGTCATTAACCACTATACCACGCTGCCTTGTGGGTGACTTTTTTTTCCTTTTGGAGATGGAGTTTCACTCTGTCACGCAGGCTGGAGTGCAATGGCTTGATCTTGGCTCACTGCAACCTCTGCCTCTCGGGTTCAAGTGATTACCCTGCCTCAGCCTCCCACGTAGCAGGGACTACACAGGCACACGCCACCGTGTCCAGCTAATTTTTTGTATTTTTAGTAGAAACAGGGTTTCACTATGTTGGCCAGCCTGGTCTCGAACTCCTGACCTCAGGTGATCCACATGCCTCAGCCTCCCAAAGTACTGCGATTACAGGTGTGAGCCACCACGCCTGGCCCTTGTGGATGATCTTGGCCTGGAGGAGATCAGGGGAGAAGGAAAGGCTGAAAGACCCAGCACCGACAGAGCGCCAGGGCCTGCCTGCATGCACCATTGCCATCACAGCCCTGGGTCCTCCCACTGTCACTGCAGAGCAGCTCCTCAAAAGAGATTCCCATTTGACAGAATGAAAAACAGCATTGACGCTGTTAAGGAAGCCTTTTCGCCACATTGTTCACATTACGGGCCTTCCATGGGAGCCCTCTCTTTCTCTTCTAACACCTTGCCAAGTAATGCCGACCCGTCTTCAGGCTCACAAGTGTTCTGGGCAGCTTTCCTGGATGCCCTTCTCCTGAGACCTTGGCCCTGGCCCTCCACCCACACCCTACCAACCTTCCCATCTTCCCTCCCACCCCAAGTCCCCCCAGAACACTGCCATTTGCACCCCACCTCCCGATCTTGTCCTTTGCCACCCACAGTCTTCTGTGCTTTGTGCCAGTCACTGAGTGCCATGAGGCAGAGGCCCTGGCATGAGTCCTCCATGGACCCATCCCAGTGCCAGGGCTTGGCGAGACATTGAGAGCAATGGGTGGTTCTCTAGGTGGGTTCTGTTGGCCTTCGGTGGAAAGGACTAGAGCTTGCGTCAGGGAATACCCACAGACAGGAAAATACGGCACCATTTAGTCAAGGTATGGAAGAATATCGAAGAGGGTAGAAGACATTTGAGGTCTATTACAATGTATTCAGGGAGAAAGAAAGTTTACAAAACAGTATAGAGTAGGATCACTTAAAAAAAAAAAACATAGAGACAGGGTTTCACTATGTTGCCCAGGCTGGTCTCAAACTCCTGGGCTCAAGCAATCCTCCTGCCTCAGCCTCCCCTGTAGCTGGGATTACAGGTGTGAACCATCGCACCCGGCTCCCCATTTTTGGAAATACAAGTACTTACATGCTTAGAAAGCTGCCAAACAACAGGTGAACCAAAATGTTAATGGCAGCCATCTCTGGGTGATTTTAATGTTTTTCTTTTTATTTATCAGTATTTTCTTATTTTTCACCATGAATATGTATTACATAATAATAATAAAGCTATATTGGGATAAGGTTTTCCTGACAAGGAACTTTTCAGATTCTTGGTGATTCGTCTTTTTTTCCGCCCAGGCTGGAGTGCAGCGGCAGGATCTCTGCCCACTGCAACCTCCCCATCTCGAGTTCAAGCAACTCTCCTGCCTCAGCCTCCCAAGTAGCTGGGAGTATAGGTGATAGGTGCCTGCCACCATGCCCGGCTAATTTTTGTAAATTTTTTTTTTTTTGAGACAGAGTCTCGCTCTGTTGCTCGGACTGGAGTGCAGTGGTGAGATCTCAGCTCACTGCAACCTCCACCTCCTGCGTTCAAGCAATTCTCCTGCCTCAGCATCCAGAGTAGATGGGATTACAGGCACACGCCACCATCCCCAGTTAATTTTTGTATTTTTAGTAGAGACAGAGTTTCATCATCTTGGCCAGGCTGGTCTTGAACTCCTGACCTCAAGTGATTGGCCTGCCTCGGACTCCCAAACAGCGGGATTACAGGCATGAGCCACCGACCCTGGCCTTCCTAAGTCTTGTTTGCCCCTAAGCAGCTGCTGGCAGGGAGCTTGGGTGCACCACAGGCATCTGGGAGTCATCAAGGCTGGGCCTTGTCTGAGCCCAGCAGGCTGGGGAATGGGAAGAGGTAAACCTGGGCCAAGAAGTGGGGTGGAGTAGAGGGTGGCCCCTGGAAGTGCTGGAAGCAGCCCTGGGGCTAAGGAAGGAGGGGAAGGAGAAGGTCTAGAGGTGGGGCAAGGATGGCAGACGGAGGGGACAGAGGACACCTAGAAACAGACCGTGCACAAGAGAGGCCCGCTGGCAAGAGGCAGAAGTTCAAAGCCAGTGAGCCCAGGGGAAAGCGGCAGGAGGGCGCCGCATCCCAGGCTGAGGCCTTGGAGTAGAGAGGGCAGTGACCCTTGGGATGCGCATCGAGAAGCCCAGGGCCCAGCCAGGGCTGAAAACAGAAGAGCTCTGAAAAGAAGAGGTTTGGGGGGACCACTGAGGTGAGGCTTCACTCCAGAGGCTAGATAGGCATGGCCAAAAGAGACCAGTGCACATGAGGCTTCTACACAGCCACTTAGTAGGGTCAGCACCAACACTGCTTCTCTTCAGCCTCCTCATCACCAGCCTGGGAACTGTTTGTCTGGTGAGGTTACAGGTTGGCCAATGACATTGAGCTCTTTGGAGGAAGGCCACAAGGAGCATGGCTTTTGGTGTCCTGAGCCTGGATTCAAACCCCATCTCTGCCAGTCGCTTCTCTGTGGCATTAGCCAAGCTACATACCCTGTCCAACCTTTCTCTAAAATGGGATTTGTAACATAAGAGGCAGTGTCTGCCGAGCGTGGTGGCTCACATCTGTAATCTCAGCACTTTGGGAGGCCAGGCCGGGCGGATCACCTGAATTTAGGGGGTAAGCCCGCCCCGGCCCAACATGGTGAAAGCTGTCTAAAAAAAAAAAAAAGAGGCAGAGTGTCTTAGTTCAGATCTTCTTTAGTTGATAGTGTGACAGAAACCCATGCTGCAACATTACAGCGCAACCTTGGCCAGGGGGGGAAGGTGCATTTGAGCCAAAGGAGCAATGGAGCCAAAGGAGCCATGTTGGCCTGCTCCCTCCTATCATCCCTGATGCTCTGGCTGTGGACTTTCTCCAGAGGCAGAACAAATGGTTGCTGACAGCTCAGAGGATTGTCGTGTTACATCTTTTCCACCACCAGCAACAGACCAAACCCAAATCTCAGCCTCAAATGCAGAAATCTCAAGAAATTGCAGGGGGACCTAGGCCGGGTACCCATCCCTGAACCAATCAACTATGGCCTGAGAGATGAAGTCATTTAGAACACAAAGAAGGGGATAAATTCCCAGAATAATGCGTGGTTCTGAGTTCACAAACAGGTACCACAATACAGGGTTGCTGGAAGAATTCGAGGTAAATATAACATGTATTAAGTGCCTACCACGTCCCAGGCACCATGCCAAGCATTTTACATATATCCTTTCATTTAATCCTCACACAACCCCATAATGTGGATTTTTAAATGATCCCCATTTTACAAAAGAGGAAACTGAGGCTCCCAGAGGCCAAGTAGATGGCTTGAGATCACATAGCTTGTAAGTTTTGGGGCCAGGATCTGAACTCCAGCCATCTGAGTCCAGATATGTTTTCAGCCACAGCGCCATAATATCTCACGCCAGGTGCTGCACTCGCTACTGATTATGAAATGGCCAAGGGCATGGGCTTTGGTGGCAGATGGCTGGCTAGATAGTGCGTTTATTCACACTTCTTCCTTCTCACTCCACCCTTGCCATAGCTTCCTTTGTTGGGGGGAGATTATTGCCCCACCCCATTGTCTTTGGCTTGACCACATGACTAGTTTCGACCAATAGGACGTGAGCAGACCTGACCCACGCAGAGGCTGTTAATGAGCTTGCGTCTTTGGCTCCGTCCCTGGTCATCCTGGCATCTGCCATGAGAAGAGCATGTCTTGTAGCCACTGGCCCCAGCATATGTAAAACAGCCTTGGAACCAACCCGTGGTTCAGAGCCAAGCTTTGCTGTGCCTGGCTGACCCCGGAACCCTGAGCAAGAAATAAACCCCTTGAGATGTGAAGGTTGTTTATTACGCAGAATTTGAAGATGCTATTGTCAGAGGCGTTCAAATCAGAGCGAGTCCATCGTGATTAGGGGCTGGGTCAAGTAAGGCAGAGACCAACTGGGCTACATTCCCAGGAGGTTAGGGTATTCTTAGTCACAGGATGAGATAGAGGTCGGCACAAGATACAGGTCACAAAGACCTTGCTGATAAAACAGGTTGCGGTAAAGAAGCCGGCCAAAACCCACCAAAACCAAGATGGCGATGAGAGTGACATCTGGGTACTCATGGCTCATTATATGCCAGTTATAATACATAAGCATGCCAAAAGGCACGCCTACCCGTATCATGACAGTTTACTAATGCCATGGCAATGTCAGGAAATTACCCTATATGGTCTAAAAAGGGGAGGAACCCTTACTTCCAGGAATTGCCCACCTCTTTCCCAGAAAACTCATGAATAATCCACTGCTTGTTTAACATATAATCAAGAAATAACCATAAAATAGCCAACGAGCATGCTGCTGCTCTGCCTATGGAGTAGCCATTCTTTTATTTCCTTCCTTTCTCCCTACCTGCCTGTCTCCCTCCCTCCCTCTCTTGCTTCCTTTCTT